CTCTCCACAATTTCCTGTCCTTTGTAGCTCTTGCTATATTTTGACTTTCTGCTATATCTCCTAATATGGGTTCTGCCAACCACTTACACAAGGTCTTTTTTCTTCTTCTATGTGCCGTGTCCCTTCAGGACATAGACGATCATGGCCCTCCACAATGTCCTGTATTTGTAGCTCTTAAAAAATCTCACCTTTCTGTTATCTCCTAATAAGGGTTCTTGCTAGGTTATGCAAGGTTTTTTTTCTTCTTCTATGTGCCTGTCCCTTCAGGACCTAGACGATCATGGCCCTTCCAATGTCCTGTTTTGTGCAAATCTGTCTAAATTCTGTTATGACAACAAGTACGTTATTTAGGTTATTCGGACTTTGTCCTCATCTTTCAACATATTTATTACAACGTTTTCCAAGACCTGTTTCTGCATTATCTGTCTATATCTCTGAAATGAGGTATTATGTACATTATTTACATTATTCGGACTACTGTCCTCATTTTTGTTGCCATATTTATTACAACGTTTCTGCCTTTCAGTATCTGTCTATATTTCTGAGATGAGGTATTATGTACATTATTTACATTATTCGGACTACTGTCCTCATTTTTGTTGCCATATTTATTACAACGTTTCGGCCTTTCAGTATCTGTCTATATTTCTGAGATGAGGTATTATGTACATTATTTACATTATTCGGAACTATGGTCCTCATCTTTGGCGCCATATTTATTACAACGTTTCGGCCGTTGTACGCTCCGGCCTTCTTCAAGGTCACATGTCACACTGGATAAAGGCATTGGTTAGATCCAGTGACAGGACCCAAAGAGCGTGATTTCAATACCCGATTAAGGCAGTGGAGAGGGGAATTAACAGGAGATAACTGATAACTGACATCCATTAAACATGGCACGTGGAACTAGAACAGTCTACCCCAATGAGCGAAATAAAGGCTTCAGTTCGACATTCCAACCACCTGAAGAAGGCCAGAGCGTACAACGGCCGAAACGTTGTAATAAATATGGCGACCAAGATGAGAACAATAGTCCGAATATTCTTTCCTCATTATTTGCTCTAGAAATCTCAGCTGTCCTTTTCTGATGTTAAATATCAATTTTATTTTTGATATCATTTTCTGTAAAACTTTGTCGTTGCTCTTACATTCAGTCCAAGTTATTCTCGATATACAGCTGTGGAACCACATTTCCTTTGTCTCAAGTCTATTCTTCATCTGTGAGGAGAGATTGTCTACTATTCACTGCCAGAAGGGCTGATATTACATCACATTTTAGTACTATTTCCTTTGTTTTTAACGAAATGTTCATGTTTCTTATTACTATGTTTAGCATCTTTTGCTCTTCCAATGAACCTTCGGATTTAGGTGTCGCACTTCTCGTGCTCTGTCAAAACACAAGATATTTAAATTTTGGTACTAGCTTGACCTTAGTATCTCCAGTTTGTAATTTACGTGTTGGGCTGCTCTTTTAACTGACGACCGTAACATACTCGAGGCAACAAAAGTATAGATCTACAAAAGAATGTTGAAGACACCATAGACCAAACGTTTGAGCAACGTTGAGGTTTTGGAGAAGATGCAAACAAGGAAAAAACTTGTACCTAACACGAGGGAGAGGCAGCTGAAATTCCTGGGACACGTAATGAGAAAGAAAGGCTTAGAAAATCTGATATTCACAGGGCAGATAGAGGCAAAGAGGGACAAGGGGAAGCAACGCGTGGCATAGGCGGTTTAAGCAAGTGGATGGCAGGAGAGTGTCTAGAAGTAGCAAAAAGACAAAATTATTGAGAACTACAAGGAATAGGAGGAAGTGGAGAGCCATGATCGTCTACGTCTTGAAGGGACACAGAACATAAAAGAGAAAGAAATGGTTAATAGCCCGATGTTAAAACCTTACACAAAACATTAGCTTTCTCCCACGGAATTAATTTTTTTTTTTGGTGGGTTGTGCGGAGATGTTTCCTTGTGTCTTGCGTTGAACATTTTCGTATGTCGCCCATTTTTTATCATCTGCTATTATATATTTTTAAAAAATGATAATATATCTATATTTCTGAGATGAGGTATTGTAACTCTTTATACTGTTTATATTATTTTGGACTATTGTCCTCATTTTTATTGTTAATACCTGGCCACAACAGAGATGAACAAAAACTTGGAAAGTTGATTTACTAAAGAGAAATAACTGAAACATCGATAAAAGGTATGACTCGAGAATTAGAAAAATCTACCCCGCTGGATTAAATAAAGTTTTCGGTTCGAAATTCCAGATTATATCACCTGAAAAAGGACTGAGTGTACAACGACCGAAACGTCATGAATATGACAATAAAGATGAGGACAATGGTCCGAAAATTGTAAACAGTGTGAAACGGAATGGTTAGTTAGAATAATATATTCGTCATTACATTTGGTTCTCAAAAAACAAACATTAGTTATGACCCAAATCAATAAATTTATAATAAACAGATATAGAACTGTGTGTAGGTAAGTGTTTTAATCGAGCATTGTGGAACATATACAACGAATTGCATTGCAAAATATTTCATTTATCAATAATATCCTATAAGACCGATACGAGAATATCATATCCGTTTGCGTATTATGTACATATTTTATAATGATATTTGGGAGACGGACTGTCACTGTAGGATAATCCAGCTGCCAATTTGGAGCTTCGATAGACACCCCGTCCACCTCGTAACGTTAGGTCATTTGGACACAGTATAATATTCATGATATAATATTTTTAATATATATCTTCTCTGTCGGCAAATACGGTACATATCTAATAGAATGTCAGTGGCTTCTGCAATTTCTTCCATTCTGTGACCGCTAGACGGCTTGAGAACCAAAATAGCACGATAATTATGAGAAATATATTATATAATTATTATCTCTTTTCACGAGCTAATCTATTTTTCCGGACTTTGCAAAATAGAAATAAAACTTTAAAAAAAACTGATAAAAACAAGCTTATAAAACAGGTTTAACTTCGTATGCGTAAAACCAATCCGTAACGTTGTATTAACCAATCAGAGGCGATCATGGATCAGTAGTAAAACAACATGGCTGCCTCTTCGGATGAAAATCGTCGTCTACTATAAACATCGAAAACTTATTTTATCTACATTTTCCCTGCCAAGAATTCCGCCGGAATACATTTTAATGATGGGAAATGGGTACATTTCTTGGAATTTGTATCTAAACAAAGGAATATGGAAGGAGATCAGGCAGAAATTACAATAACATTACTTGACATTCATTTGCAAGAAGAATTTATCGGAGAAAATGGACACTTAAATTTATGTCAGATGCTAATACATATAATGCCCAATTTATAGATAGTCAGCTGCCGAAGTAATTTCTTCCATCTCTTGACTACCAGAGATGAGAGTCAAAATAGCATAATAATTATAAATGCATTTATTAGCCGTAAGTAAAACAAACGTATCGGTGATATTTTTATCATTGTATATAGAATTAACTCAAAGTAGGAACAATCAATTCACGATCAAGTGTGCAATTTCCAAACACTTAAGCTACCACAAATTTAAATAGAAATCTATCAAAACTCCGAAAAGTGTCCCATTTCAATGAATTATCCAGCAATTATTTATTAATGGAGTTTACTTTCCGAAGTGAAAACATAAACTTTTTTCGGACAGTTACAACATCCACTTTGCTAAAACGTTGATTTTAAAGAATGTAAGAAAAACCCAAATATTTGCTACTATATTTTGGTCACAACTAATATATTTTTGGTAAAAAACGATTATTATTTTTCGATTCTAAATTAAAATTATGGATTTGACAAATATATTTTTTTAAAGATAATCTCTGGATATATTAAATCATTCTTTAAATCCTTTAAACCAAGCAATAAAAGCCCCTAAGATTCAAGGGGTTACTGGGGGTAAAAAACAAACAAAAAAGAACAGAGAGAACAATAAATGAACAGGTTTTAACGGGACATAAAATAACGATAGATACTGTATATACATTTTTGAAGATCGTAGTAAACAGGAAAGTATAAAGCCAGAAGAATGTTTGACAAGCGAGACGTGTGGTTGAAGAAACTATTAGCCTAGTATTTATGTTTAAAACTAGCTATTTCAACAGTGGAATTATGGGACCGAGCTGGCAATTTAGTACTGCGCTTACATTCATGAAGTTGAAGTACCAATGAGGGAAGTTTCTTAGAACAGTTACCATGGAAATATTGATAGAAGAGGCAAAGAGAAATTACATTATGGCTGTTGGAGAGTGACTGAAGCCGAGATGCCAGATAAGGACAGATAACGTTTCCGATTCATCTTTGTATTTTATGAAGAATCTCTAGATATATAGCAGGCGCACCAGAACAGATCTGGCCGTGATGCTCGATGCACTGATGACGGAAAGACTTATATGTGCTGTATCAGAAATGAAACAGGACTGAGTTCACAAAAAGTTTATTCAAATTTAAACTACAACTTTTCCCTATCGAAATTATCCCCTTCTAGTCTAAGTCACTCAACCATGCTACCCAGCCACACCTTCATGCACTCCTGCTAGGATTTTCCAGGATTTTCTGAAGCTCCGTCGTCACGGTCCTGGCTTCGTGTGATTTTTTTTTCTTTTTCCCCAAGTTCAAGTGGACTCGTGTTTCGGACGTGGAACACAGCAAGAGGATCATAACGATGTAACCGCTCAGAACGCTGGGAGAACCCTTCCAGGAGTGCATGAAGTGACAGAGAATGGCGGAAATGTGCGTTAAACTCAAAGGCGATAATTTCAAAGGAAACCTTGTAGTTTGTTGTGTGAATTTGATATAATCCTACTTAAGCCTTGTTGTTGTCTGACACATAAATGTAGAACATAAATTCGGTGAAATAATTGTCTAGCATGACATAGTGTAACTACTTTTCTAACAGAAAACTTTGCAATTGGTTCAATAAAATAATTCCACTTCACATCAGTAGAAAACATGAAACCGGGAAGGCGCAATAAGTTACTCTTCTGAGTAAATATCAAGAAATCGGGAGAGTAAAAGGGAGTGAAATAAGTAGAGAGTCTGTCTACCAAAGAGAGGGGGACGGTAAAGAGGGAGTTAGTTTCGAACCAAGAGAGCGAGCAAGAGAGAGAGAGAGAGAGTACCAGAGAGAAAGAAAGAGAGAAAGTGTATGTTAGAGAGAGTACTGTCAGAGAGATCGAGAGAAATAGGGTGTGAATGTGTAGAGAAAGGGATAGCGAGGAAAATGAGAGAGAGTCATTAGGTTAGTGAATATAGAGATATAGACAGCTATATACTGTATGGTAGAGAGTGAGTGAGTGAGTGAGTGCGTTCCATAGATAGTGATAATGAGAGAGATAGAGAGAGAAGGGGAGAGTAAGGTTTTTTTTTTCGTTTTTTAATAGATGTTTCTAGTTTTCCCTCCCCCCTCCCCACTCAAAGGCATTTTGTCCCAATGATTCTACTTATTTGATAGTTTAGTCAGAAATCCCGGTCCGAAAAGTTAACAAAGAAAAAAAACGAGAAAAGTGGAAAATTGAATGTCTTTGACTAGATGCGAGGGTGTCTCGTCAGTATTTTAACGATGTTGTGACAGTATCTTTTTGCTTCCTGAGAGAGATAGAGTGAGAAAAAGAAAAAGGGTAATTGTATTACAGGGAGAGTATAGTCAGAGAGTACAAGAGAGTTAGAGGGTGAATGTGTAGAGAAAGGGCTAGAGAGAGAGAGAGTCCAAGTGAGAGGGATAGAGTGAGTGAGTAAGTGTGAGATACAGAGAGCGAGAGACTGGGTGAGTGAGTGCGTTCCATAGAGAGTGATACAGAGAGAGAGAGGGAAAAGAGAGGGGGAGGTTAAAAGGTGTGCCAGAGAAAGATAGAGTAAGAAAAAAAAAAGGGAAACTGTGTGCCAAGGAGAGTATAGATCGTACAAGAGAGATAGAGTGTGAATGTGTAGAGAAACGGCTAGAGACAGAGAGAGAGAGAGATTAGGTGTGTGGCAGAGAGAGAGAGAAAGACAGAGAGTCAGTGTGAGATATAAACAACGAGATACTGTATGGCAGAGAGTGCAGAGCATGCGCAAAAAGAAGGAGAAAGAGATTGAGAGATAGATGATGTGCTAGAGAGACAGAGAGAAGTTGCCAGAGGAAAATTGAGTGAGTGAGTGATTGAGAGACTGCCTTCCATAGAGACTGATAAAGAGTGAGGGATAAATCAATTGAGTTCACAACATGAATCTTGAAATTCAAAAATTTATCAGTTTTAATGATAATGAAATTTTAATGATAATGAAATTTTAATGATAATGAAATTTCGACGGCTGAAAAACAATGAAAATTTGCCTCCAGTTTCAACTGAGGAATCATTACTCAAAACACATGGCGTCTTCCCAGATCTTTTAGGAAAATGTTGCTTCTTACATTTGTTTACCTTACGCATTACACTTCGCAGGCCTTTGCACAAACAAAACTATATTTGACTTTGGTGCCTGTTTAAATTAGACATTAAACTCGTCAAACCCCGAGATATCGACGGCGCATGTTTTAAAAAATTATCTTTAAAAGTAAATATCCTGTCTTGATTCTGACAAGTAATCTTCCAATTTTTTTTCAGTTAGGAAATAATAAAAAATGAAATTTGAAAAAAGGAAAAGAGAGAGATTTAAAAAGAGAAGGGAATTATTTGAGAAAAACTTCCAAAAGAGTGTAGGTGGGGAAAATGAAGGGGAAGAGAAAAACAGTTAAAAGAAGGGGAAGAGTATTAGTAATTCCAAGTTGAACTCCATTCGAAATTGGAAAAAAAAGTCTTATGACGTATTTCATACGTTAGCATTTCATTAGGAAAGGGCTTTTTTGATCTTACCACATCTACACACGAGCACGAAACGAGAGATGCTGGTAGCTTCAAAACTTTTGAAAGAATATTTTGAATGAATACATATATATATATATATATATATATATATATATATATATATATATATATATATTCATTTATTAGTCCGTCATCTTGTAATTAATTTCTTAAACATTCACATATTTATGTAGATGATCTATTTTTTATTTATTCATTTAAACAGTATATTTATTTATTTGCCTCCATTAACAATAACATTTATATAAATTAAAATATGTCGGATTAATAAATGGAAAATTAATTACTAAACGTTGTCTTTGTTTGCGTGAGGATACCAAACTGAGCAAAAACGTTTGGACCACTTTGATAAATTAATTACTTAACTTAATGTTAATTTTCCCCCAAATCCAGAATGATTATCAATATCCTTTTCTCAATATTTTCATGACCTTTGAGGAGCAGAAAAAGTTACATTTTATTAAATGCTGTGTGGTGAATGACAGAACATCTTCAGAATATTAACGCTGAAAAAAAAGGCCACGCAAAATTACTGGGTCACCAGCGAAGATTTCACTTTTCAACTGTTAAGTTTTTCTAACTTAAGAAAATGCTGTATATATATATATATATATATATATATATATATATATATATATATATATATATATAAATAAAGATCTTTATTACTGCAGAAAATAAGAGACGTCTACAAAGTATGGAGTTAAGAATTAAAGGTATTTGCCTTTGGTTAGAATAACTGTCTTAATTTGATGTGGCATTGAATTGAACAATGTCCAGATTTTATCACTGGGAATTTTTTTTTTTTACCATTCTTCTTGGCAGAAATTCTAAAGCTCTTGGAGATTGTGTAGTTTTCGTTGGAGCATGTGTTTCTTCAGTTTCTAACACAACGGTTTAATTATATTGAAATCAGGACTTAGGGCTGGCCAGTCTTCCAAAAGCTAAATATCTTCATCCACAAGAAACCTTTTTTTTGCTGCACATGATGTCTGGCAAGGAGCACCATTATCTTCGTTGTCTGGCAGAAGATTAGATCGCAGTAGACTAATATAGTTTTTGCTGTTTAGGTTTCCATCAACTTTTACTCATTTTTCTCCCACCAACCATTTTGATGGAACCCCACATCATTACGTGTTCACCAAAAGATTTTACCGTCTTTGGGTGATGTATCTTGCATTATTTTCTTTCTCCCCAGTTGGTTTTCTTACATATTCTCATGCATTAGAATGTAACCCTATTTTGCATTCATCACTAAAATTATTTTTTGCCACTTTCCAGTATTTTTTTTGGGGGGGATGTAATGATTTTTTTTTTCTTTTTTTGCTATTATACGCCCGTAGAAGTTGTTTTGTTTTGGCGGGGGTAATGTCGTATAATTTTTTTGTGGGTGGTTAATGATTTTTTGCTACTATACGCCTGCACGAATTGTCTTTTTTTATGGGGGAGTAATCACTTTATTTTATTATTTTATTTATTTATTTTTTTATTTTATTTATTTATTTATTTTTTTTTTTTTTTTTGCTACTAGACGCCGGTACAAGTAGTTTTTTTTTGGTGGGGGTAATAATTTTTTTGCCATTATAGGTCAGTACAAGTTGATTTTTTTTCGTAATACTCTGCGTAGTGTATCAACTGAAACGTCACTTTTATGACAGAAGTCACTCCGGACTGGTCTTGTTATTTTAGATTGCCTAACAAGACTTTCAAAAACTTCTTTTTTTTTTTTACCGCCATTGTTTAAATTTTGAATTGCTTTTTTTCACTTTCTTTTTGGAGGGGGTGCACATAAAACCCTTCCAATAGCAGCAAACGTCTTTTGGATGGATTTAAAACGGTTTCTGGCAATCCCCAGCCGCCAGCCGATCTCTCGTTATCTTCTTCAAAGTCACAACCTTATTCTGCCATGATTTTACTGTCAAAATAGCAAGCGAATTTTAAACTACAATGAGCTACCAAAGGTAACGGCCACAGCACATTCAAAGATCAATTCCCGTACATTCGGCGGAGTTAAGCAACGTCGAGCCAGGTCAGTACCTAGATGAGTGACCACTTGCGAATACCAGGTGCTGTAAATTTGGCTGTGCGGGTGGTGTAATGGATAATGACTCAGAATTGTTAATTGGAGAACCGAGTTCCAATTCCAGTTGGGTTCGTTAAAATCACTTACGCGCAATATCACTTGGAAAAGACCTGATTCCCCCTTTTCTCCCTCCAGCAATTAGTTGAAAGTGTATCACTAAAACAATTATTATCTCAAAAAATAAAAGATAAAATTGCGTATAAAATATTTAAATTTCGGCATTAAATAACCTATAGCGGTGTTGATATGCCGTTAAACAAAAACGCCAACCAGCATCTTTTGATTGCGCTGTTGGACTTCTGTGCCACATTTTCTGTTGTCTGTTATAAAGCATCCCAGTACTTTTCTGTACTTGCTTGATATTGACGTCCCCAATTTGTAGATCACATTCTGCCTCTTTTGCTAGCTACCATACATTCTGATTTAGTCTTTTTTTTCTTGTTTTTCTAATGCTCTCATAAAATATTTAGATTTCGGCATTAAGTAACCCATAGCGGTTATGGTATGCCGCTAAACACAACCAACCAACCAACGATTGACAAGGCACCAGGCACCTTACACTCATGTATAAGATGAAACAATTCCTATTTAAAAATCTATATATTATCATGACTTTATCATCTCAGACCTTGAATCGATCCAATAGTTT